AAAACAAACAAGCAACACAAAACAAACAAGCACAAGCTTGTTGTGCCGATGAGTAGGTTACATAATAAGATACGAAATTCATTCGGGTGTTTGTCTGTGCGCCTGTACAACAAAATCCCACAAGATGTTCAGAGCCTACATATACATAAGCTTAAGAAAACTGTTAAAGAACATCTGTGCAATAAAGCTTACTATAAAGTCAATGATTATCTAGAAGATTGCACAAAGTGGGAATGAATTGCTCGCTCCGGGCATTTCAATGTTGCAATAATTGTTACATTATATAATACTCAATGTAAATTTTTTTTTTTATAAATAAATAAATATTTACTAACAATCATGCCACGTTAACTGGTCCCGTGATAAGTTCGTAAAGAACTTGTGTTACAGGTACCAGATAACGGATATAAATGTAAGATTTTTATTATACACATACATATATTTAATAGACATCCATAACCCTGGAAAAGACATTTATATTTATCATACAAATATCTTCCCTTGGCGGGATTCGAACCCGCGACCCCCCTGTGTAGTGACCATGTCACTNAGATAACGGATATAAATGTAAGATTTTTATTATACACATACATATATTTAATAGACATCCATAACCCTGGAAAAGACATTTATATTTATCATACAAATATCTTCCCTTGGCGGGATTCGAACCCGCGACCCCCCTGTGTAGTGACCATGTCACTTACCACTACACCAGACGGCCGTTAAATTTACCGAATACATTAAAAAATAATCTAATATTTAAAAAAGAAAGACATGCCCGCTGAATTTCTGTTTCTTGCCAGTTCTTCTCAGGACGGAGGCTAGATCTTGTGAATTGGCGGTAGTTCTTTTTGACGTTCAACAAGTATGTACTTTCATTTATGTTGAATATTTTTTTTTTAATTTGATTTGATTACAGTACAACGGCTGCCCCACCCTTCAAACCGAAACGCATTACTGCTTCACGGCAGAAATAGGCAGGCCGGTGGTACCTACCCGCGCGGACTTACAAGACGTCCTACCACCAGTAACTACCAACACCTACTAGCTTTAGATTATGATTGAATGCATTGAATTAATATTCGTCTGAGTCCAGAAAATCGGACAAGTCAATTTATTATGAACATGTTGGAAACAAATAAAACAATGAAAAACCAATTTCACGGCTGAGGAGTTACAATGATTATTATTAATTACTTATTCAAAATTCCATTCAATCGATACATCGTTCTCAGAACATTATAACGCAATGATTCTGTCGGGGTTTTGCTTTTTTTTAATAATAATATGTCTATTTTCGTTCGCCGATATTCCGGTAAGCTGTACGAAAATGAATCTAATACCACAGTACGGCGATAAAATCGTAAAGTTCTCGAACAGGAATCAAGAATATTATTATCACAATAAAGAGCCGCCGAACCGTTTCCCTGGTGATAAATTCGAAATCGTTCTTAGGAAAGTTCCACACGGTTCGAAGCCTGTTACCGAATATGATTTGAACAAAAACGCAATTTACACGCCTTTAGTTAGGTATCACGTTCGGAAACCTTCGGACAGCAGTGACACAAAGAAAATCGGTTTCCGAACGCCTGAGAAGTCTGTAAATATAATAAAAGACGGCCCCAATGAAATCATTAAACCAACGAAGCTCAGGTTTTACGTTTACGACATCCGCGAGGTTTTAGAAAAATTAAACAAATACATCACTAGGGCCAGTGTATATGAGAAGTCTGGGGAGCAGGAGGATCCGTTGGCGCCGGGAAAGAAATACACTATCACGGAAAGTGCCGAAAAGCCTGTAGAAATTAAGAACTGGAGTCCGCATTATTCGTTGTGGAATTATTGGACGGTAATAAATTCTATTTTCTATTATTATTCTATTATTATTTCTGCCGTGAAGCAGTAATGCGTTTCGGTTTGAAGGGTGGGGCAGCCGTTGTAACTATACTTGAGACCTTACAACTTATATCTCAAGGTGGGTGGCGCATTTACGTTGTAGATGTCTATGGGCTCCAGTAACCACTTAACACCAGGTGGACTGTAAGCTCGTACACCCATCTCAGCAATAAAAAATAAATAAATAAAAATCTCTTACTTTGTTCTCTATGAGTATAGTGAATGTATTCTGTGACATGACACTTCTACGTTATCTAAGTTCCTAGCTCATGCTCACGTATGATTATCACGACGAAGGTCGTATGAAAAAAAAATCGCTAAATTAGGTACCTTAGGTAATTAACCATTACTTAATGGTAGTTTTCCAATTACAGAGCATAATGCGACTCAGTGACGGTCAATGCCGAATTATGCTGAAGCTTAGTTGAGCATTATGCCACATAATGCGCTCTTGTGCTGTAATTGGAAAACGGCCAAAATTAACATTATTATTACGGAGTCCAAGACTCATATAATAAATATTAGCCTATCCATTAAGTACATGTATTTTCTACATGGATACCAAGTTTCAAGTCAATCGGATGCATGGTTCAGTAGTTATAACGGAACATCCGTAAAAACCACTGTAGATTTATATATTAGTGTAGATTTAAAAATTCATTCCTAGTGTCCAATCCTATCAATATACCTATAATAGTTTTAATAGCCATATCTAGTCTTTTTCTTATCGATCTTCCGTTTCACAGTACGACAAAGACGTATATCATGACGACTGCAAAGGAAACCTCGTGAAGATAAGCGGCATCTGCATCGAGCGACCTCCGTTTTAAAACGATGCGTGAGGGTAATCAGAAACTAGAATATATATTTTATTATTTTTGGAGGGTAAAATTACATATGCTAGTACTGTAATGTCTTTGCAATTGGACAATAATATGCAAGAAAACAGATGTTGATCTTGATCATTCGCGTTAATGTACTGTAAATACAAAATGGAGGGAATTAGAGGATTTTAAATGAATTCCATTGCGTGCTACGTAAAACCTGTTCTATTTTGTTTTTTATTCGATTATCGCATAAGGAATCGCCGGTACGACAATTTACTCATCTTCAGCATGCACGTGGTATGTGGAAAAATTTATATTGTTACGCGCTGAGGTTCGGGATAAATAAATGTTCCACCAAAGTACAACTTAAAACTGTATTTATCACATAGAACACTCACAGAATATTTAAAATTCTTAATTCGCTTGTTCCGCTTCGCTTCAGGTGATCCGTTCGCTGTTTCGCTTCCAGTAGTTCCGATTACTGACTGACTGCGTGCCATCTCTGCAACGCTTTTATAGTCGATACGATATCCCTAGAATTATCGAGAACATTCCTCACGAGTCGAGTGTTTTCGATGGGTGTGTTTCCGCTATTTGACAATAGATGGCGTTGTACTTCCCGAGCATTCTAGACGCTACTAGATCATTTGATATTCGTTTCGGCTATTCGGCGATAGATGACGTTACTATTACTGGCGTAACAATATAATATATAATGATATTAGGTACATACTTCAGAATAAATAAACAATAAAAGACTTATTTTATTGCGTTTTCTGTTATATGTATAATAAGAAAACAAAAATTAAAGCAAGCACAAACTAACAAAATTGATATTTTAAACAAACTGAACTTTCTTCTTACTGAATGACAGACTTCACTGAATGACTGGTTTGTCTCCCCCAATCTCAACACCGGTTTTGTATCAAGAATATTTTTTGCTGTTACATCGATGGCTTCTACAAAACCGCCCAATAAAATTGTAGACATAGCGTAATAACAATTTAAGCAACAAAAATATATATATTCTGTTCTAGATAATTATAAATAAAGTTTACTGTATTTTTCATGATGTTTTATTTGGCAGTATTTAATTTAGCTGCATGTGACCAGGGTAGGTTTGCTTTAGTCTGAAGGTCTAAAAGTTTCACCGGGGAGTGGTCACCAGCGTTCCCTGGATACCGGCCTAGAGTAGTTTGTGAGCAACCACGGGCTGGCAGCACATTTTGCTCCTTGTGCTTAGTGCGAGTTTTTTAACGTTCTCGATGGCGTAAAAGTTAGCCCAATTTTGTGTGCAGTTGGAACAGCGCCCCTAGCGGCAAACGTAGGCAAACGATCCAATTCCATACAAATATGAGCTAACTTTTACGCTATCGAGAAAGTTAAAAAACTCGCACTAAGCACACCTCCCTTAAAAACGGGTCACATCCTGTCACGCCCAAAATAGCCAACACCGATACGGGAGTCACAATAAAACCATCAGGGGTAGCAATAAGAAATAAAACGCATCATTTTATTTAGATATAACACATTTAACTATTCAGAGTAATACAAATATATCGACTCTACAAATTGACATTTAGTTCGAAGCGTAACATTTAAAGACTGTCGTCACAGAATTTGTTCATTTTGCTATGTATACAGCGTGTTACAAAATACCCCGTAAAAAATATAATTAATTATCAAAGCCAAACATTCTGTCAACCCTAGTAAGCTCTCACGTCAGGGAATCGGATTATTTAACAGAAAGGCCTACGTACCTATTTTACCTAATTGTCTACTTTAATAGTTTTTCTATTTAAAGTGAAACTTTTATTACATCGTTTCAAACTTTTTCGGTCTGTGTGTTGCATGTCGCGTGACGGTCGGCCGCGGAGTAGGGATAAAGTGAAAGGCGCTCGTCAGAGCAGTCAAGGCCAATATGGCGGCGCCTATAGTTCGCAGCAGCTGACCGTGCAGTGTATAGACTATTACTCATTTGTGCCAGTGCTCCACGCTATTTTGTTTGTTTTTGTCAGTGTTTAATGTAAATGTTGTTTGTCAGAGTTAAATGTCTATAATTTGAAAAAAAGTTTCACTTTTACCGTGTTTTCATAAAACCACACAATCGTTTTTTTTTTTTCATTCATAAATGTTTACTAACTCAATACAAACATGTCATTAAACTCAAGTACTTGACGCACTTGTCAAATTGTTTCTCGTTCCGCGAATCAGGTAGAAATGTGAGTACATTCTGCGTATTTTACTCTTTTATTTTACTGAAATAGGGTTTGCACGTCAGTGAAATTAATAATATTTGTTTATTTTTTGGGGGGTATGTTATACAGCGTTACTACGGTTCTTAAATATTGTGAATGGAATTGTTATAAGGGCCCATTTAACCTCCTGTCGGCTTTACGGGTAGTTTTGTAACACCCTGTATATATATATATTTTTGTATGTTTTTATTTTTTCGGTACGAGCTTGCTGTTTGATTCGTAGAATTAGCAAACTTAAGACGAACAGAGATAAAGATAGAGAGACAGAGAGAGAGAGAGAGAGAGAGAGAGCATGCATTACAAACTTATACTTTCTAATAATCGAGTGAAATAGTCAAGCGACTATGAGCCTTATATCAGTACGTATGTGGGTGCACTTTCGACTCCGCAGTTGTTCTCCTTCGAGGACATGAGGACGTAGCCGTCGTTCCCCCACATGTTCGACCAGGAGTTCTTGATGAGCCAGTATTTCTTGCCGTTGAGGACGCCATAGCCGACCGCCAGCACCGCGTGGTCCAGCTCTTCGACTTTGTTTTTGCTGTGAATTAATAATAATAATAAAACGAGAAATGCGGGTAGTATTATTTTCTTTTAATTTTCATTGCTGCCTCTTTCCATTGCTGCCTCCCCTCTCAGTTCGAATTAATTTCCCTTTTTTTTGCTTAGATGGGTGGACGACCTCTGATGTCTGATGAGCTGAGATGTCTATGGGCTCCGGTAACCTCTTAACAACTAAGCAATGAATAAAAAACTTTTTTAATGCATAACTTAGCAACGAATCTTTAAGTACTGATGGATTTTACGAGCCAATAATATTAGTTTTTTTTCTCCTTTTTTGTACATTATCATAATTACCATTTCGGTTCAAAATACACTCCGTTCGCGTAGAAGCTGAAGCTCTTGTGGGAAGCGTCGATGGCCACCGAAATCGGACCGTGCTTGAAGATCGCCAACTGAAATAAATGTAGGATTGGTAAGAACGGAACTGTTGCGAGGATTTATTAGAAAAGCTTTTTAAAAAAAAAGAAATTTATTCAATTCTAATAATTAAAACATTTAAAATTAAAAATAAATAAATAAATATTTACTAACAATCACGCCACGTTAACTGGTCCCGTGATAAGTTCGTAAAGAACTTGTATTACAGGTACCAGATAACGGAAATAAATGTAAGATTTTTATTAAACACATACATATATTTAATATACATCCATAACCCTGGAAAAGACATTTTATATTTATTTTAATTATCATACAAATATCTTCCCTTGGCGGGATTCGAACCCGCGACCCCCTTGTGTAGTGACCATGTCACTTACCACTACACCAGACGGCCGTTTAATTAAAACATTTAAAATTAACAATTGACATTAATTGGGGCAAGTGTCACCGGGAGCGCGGTTAGAATTGAACTACGAGATCTATCGACAACCTAGCTAAGCTGCATTACGTCGTGCACCTTACATTGCATTTTTAGGTAAATTAAATATATATATATTTTTTTTTTTTATTTGCCTTTGCATGCAGACGAGCTTACGGCCCACCTGATGGTAAGTGGTCACCGTCGCTCATGGACGTCAGCCATGCCAGGGGCAGAGCCAAGCCGCTGCCTACTATAATATAACATTGAAATGTGTGTGAGAGAAAACGGTAAGAAAGGGAATAGAAAATGACGGACAGAATGACAGAGAAAAGAAAGATGGCGAAGGCGGTTATGGCGTAAAAAAAGATAGTAGTGTTAGATAATTTTTTATCATATATTATAAAAGATTTTGGAGCAGTTGATTATTTTATGGACTACGATCCCTATTCCACATAAATAATATTATTTTAAACGTTAATATTACTTATAATACAAAAAAATTTAATCGAATACTTAATATTATAACTATGAACAAATCACGCACGCTAATCCGACTTCAAATTAGGATTCCCTGTGTCATGGGTGACAAAGACTGATAAAAACATACTGATTTATATTTTAAATATATACATATAAAGATAATGAGCACTGAGACAGAAAACAAAAAACCTTTTTTATCACATGAATGTTTGCCCGATGCGAGAATCGAACTCACGACCCTTGACGCAACAGTCAGTGCCGCTACAGTTTCAGTTAGTATGGCACCAAATGACGTCACACGCAATGAATACACAGCGATGTATTGCAAAGTTAACGCGGTAATTTGCTCAAAATAAATATACCTACACATATTCACATAGCAATCTGATGGTATCAGGACTACACTAGTGTGTTTTGCACTGTTATCGGAATGTATAATTATATTTTGCAAACATTTGTTTCAATGCACGCAATGTACAACAAAGTATTGCACGAGGTCAACGCCCCCTCGGTGTCCGTTTTCGCTTTAGATCGCGGCTTCAATACACGTAAACTGCCAACTTCAACCCACATATCCATTCGTCTCCTTACCTTGAGCGCCTTCTCATCGTTTGTCGTCACGTTAACCCAGCCGGTGATCGAAGTGACAGCCGTCACGTTATCGACATGACAGTAGCCATCCTGAATGTACAAAAAAAACTATTACATCAAGGGCAATGGATATTACAGGCAGCAAATTTCGTTTCCTAATATCAAGGGAAGAAAGGCCAGTTTTGTGGGTTTTTTTTGGATACCCACACAAGCAGGTACTACCGCCCTGACTATTTCTGGTGGGATCAGTGTCTATACTAAGCTATTGTGACTTCGATTTATATCTCAAGGGTCTGCAGACTGCGGCTGATCTTGTTTCGTAGATCGTGTACTTATGTAAGGACCTGCTTTATGCAAAAATCGCTTTTATTCCGAACCGTTTAGATCAATTATTAAAGAACAAGAAAGAAAGAATTCTAGAAAAAGAAATCATTTATTCGCTAAGCATATTGAAAATCAGTTATTACATAAGTTAAAAGCAGCGTGTATGTATGCTTTGTCATTATTTAATATTATATAATTTATTCATCTATAATTCAATATCATTCATCTATAATTCAACTAATAATTAAGAAATCCATTTATTTTCAATGTCGTATTTAAGAAAATCATTTATGTGATAGTGACAACATGTCAAATGACAATGACAAAAAGATTCGTCTAGGCATTTAAGGCACGTTGGATGGAACCAGTTCCCACTTGAGGTGTTGCAATACTAACCTGTCCGAGGTATCCTCCGTAGTCCTCCTCAGTGGGGAGGCCGTGCCTCTTGATCCACTCGTAGGCCCTGAAGTCCTCGCCTCCGTCGCAGCCGTTGTTCCCGAAACTGGAGCGATAGTGAAGTTCGTATCGTTACGTCGGCAAGAGTAACGCCATCTATCGCCGAATAGTCGATAACGAATATCGAAGGATCTAGTAGCACCTAGAATGCTGGAGAAGTACAACGCCATCTATTGTCAGATTGCGTGGAATATTCTCGTCGATTCTAGGGATTTCGTCTCGACTATAAAAGCGTTGCAGAGATGGCACGTAGTCAATTAGTAATAGGAGCTACTCGAAGCGAAACAGCGAACGGATCACCTGAACCGAAGTGGAAGAAGCGATTTGAGAATTTTAAAGTGTTTGTGAAGTGTTCTAGTGTTGAATACAGTGTTAGCTTGTAATTCGGTAGATTATTTTATTTATCCCGAACCAATGACAATACAAAATAATGGATTGGAAAAAATGTTTGGACTCCAGCATCAATGTCGCTATCCACTGCGCGGAGGACAGGAATGAATGGAGGAAGATAGTCCTAGCATAAGCTGAGCTGGATATGTTTACTTGTAGGTTAGTGACGTTTATAAAAATGTTAAAGGGCATCCTCCACATTAGCAATAGGTTAGCAGTGTAATTGTTTAATTGTATATTGTGAATAAAATTATTTCCTTACATTATAAGTTAGATTAGTTTTCGTTATCGTGTTGTTTTGTCGTATAGTTGTAAGGAACATTGTGTACAAATTCAGCACTTTGTCTTGTTTGGTCGTGCGCATATGGCTTATGTTGCAGTAACTATTCGACGTGGACGAAGTCGCGGGCAAAAGCTAGTAGGAAATAAACTGCCTATTCCTATTACGGATTCGTTATTGTGTCGCCCGGCACTGGTGATCCTACAATCTACAACCACCTTCTTCTTGCTTCGGCTTCCTCAATATGTCCAAATAAATGTCTCAATAATTCCAAATGAGGGTCGTGACCACCTCCTCGCAACAAGAGTTTATTGCGGACCATTCCACGCCTTTTTTTTTTATTGCCCTTGTAGGCAGACGAGCTTACGGCCCACCTGGTGGTGAGTGGTTACCGTCGCCCATGGACTTCAACAATGTCAGGGGCAGAGCCAGGCCGCTGCCTACCGCTATTTGCCTCTATCTGCCGCCGAGTGTAGAGCATCGTCAACTGTGGTGTCAAGGGTAGTGCGGATCTGGTCAGTCAACGACCAACGACCACCACCGCCGACTTCCAAGATCCTCACCCCCAGGAGCAGTCGATGAGCGCCTGCTGGCTGAGCCGGACCAGGTGTCCGCCGTTGTGCAGGAACAGCGCGCCCTCCACCGCGCCCACCGTGCCGAACGACCAGCACGAGCCGCACACCGACTGATCTGGACCGACACGCTCATGGTTAGACCACACGGACGCCGCAAGACCTCTCCTCTTAAAAGTCCGCACGGGTAGGTACCACCACCCTGCCTATTTCTGCCGTGAAGCAGTAATGCGTTTCGGTTTGAACGTTGGGGCAGCCGTTGTAACTAGAGTTGCCACGAATAGTGATTTGGCCGATTACCGAATACCGAATATTTGGTAACGCTGTCGGCCGAATATTCGGCCATATTTTTACAAAGTGGCCGAATGCCAAATAGTAGTCGAATATTCGTAGCATGTCTAGTTGTAACTATACTGAGACCTTAGAACTTATATCTCAAGGTGGGTGACGCATTTACGTTGTAGATGTCTATGGGCTCCGGTAACCACTTAACACCAGGTGGGCCGTGAACTCGTCCACCCATCTAAGCAATAAATAAATAAAACCCGTCGCAAGTGGATGAGGTCAAGTAGATCCAAGACATTGGTAAAGAGCTATATCTAATGGTGAACTAAAATAGACTATTTAATAATGAACCCGGGTAAAAGCGCGGCCAAACAGGGAACAGTGATTATATTTTATCTTCATGCCTCATGAGAGTAAAAGCTTTAAGCTCACGAACTTTAGAAGATGTTGCTGATCATAAGTTCTAAGACCTATCGTGACAAATGACTACATAAAGTGATATTATTTGAGTTTAACTGAACGGGCTGTTTTGTTCGGATCTTTCTACTGAGTCCCTACAGAGATGGGTCGGAACCTCAAAGCTGCTGGGGCCAGTGTTAGCAGACTCTCTCTGACTGAACCCTAAAAGTAAAACTGAAGGAATTTCCACACGCTTTCCGTTCTCACCTTTAACGGGAGTGACCGCTCCGAATAATCTCCAGTCGTGTTCCGGAGGCAGCTTCACGCTCAACTCCTCCACTCGAGACTTGCTGTACGGGAACGGGAGACCTGGTTGGAACATCAGGACGTTTACTGGTGGTAGGACCTCTTGTGTTTCGGTTTGAAGGGTGGGGCAGCCGTTGTTACTATACTGAGACCTTAGAACTTATATCTCAAGGTGGGTGGCGCATTTACGTCGCAGATGTCTATGGGCTCTAGTAACCACTTAACATCAGGTCAGCTGTGAGCTCGTCCACTCAACTAAGCAATAAAAAAAAACATTATAGTTTAGCGGTTCGTTGAGGCTTCACACGCCGTGCCTTCCGCCGAGAAAGGGGCTCCTAATAGGTAGAGTGCCGCCCCCTATAGCAACCGTAAATGCGCGCCCCAGTCTGTGCGGAGGGGAAGACTGTTACAAGACCTCATAAGTCTCAATTCCCAGAAAGAATGGATAATCCTGAAACACCTCATAGTAGAGCTACTGAGGACTCAAAATAAAAAAATAAAAAAGAATATTTCTTAGGTAGTACCCAAATTAAAAATAAAGAAAAAATACCAAATTTCATGATTAAAATTTAAGTTTAGATTACCTTTTATAAAAAATTACACTAGGTACTCATACGATTTTTTTTTATTGCTTAGAGCCAAGCCGCTGCCTACCGCTTAATACTCTCCACAAGCCTCGTTTGAAGAAGGAGCCTCGATTTTTTTTGTTTTTTAAATATTAATTTTTACAATGAGTATTCAAAATTCAAAATCATTTATTTCAACTTAGATATCAGTATGACACACTTGTTGAATGTCAAAATACAAATAACAATGTTAACTCTACCACCGGTTCCAAATAAAGCCACAGTCCTGAGAAGGACCGGCGAAACAAACTCAGCGGGCTTTTTTTTTTGCTTTTTCTCAAATATTTTCTTTTTTTTAAATAAATAAAAATATTTACAATAAAAGAAAAAACAAATTACAATTAAAAATATTATAATAATTATTATAACGTAACAATTATTGCAATATTGAAATGCCCGGAGCGAGCAATTCATTCCCACTTTGTGCAATCTTCTAGAGATCTAACAGAAGGTGGCTCTTTCTTGTATATGGACTCACCGTGAGGGCTGGGCCCCGAGTACCTCCTCCCTCTGAGGGCGGCGAGCTCGTCGTCAGTGCGATCGGCCAGATGGTTCACGGACATGGTGAAACCGCGGTTCGCTCGATTATTCGAATGTATGTATCTGAAACAAACATACATTCTTAAGGTCCCTAAGAAACGCCGCCATATTAACCATATTGCGTTGCGTCTATTTCTTAGAGGTATCTTAAGGTGGCCATAAAATGAATAAATGCGTTTCATTCTTCACAGTGAGTGAAGACATTTGCGGTTCAGACTTCATACTACCTGAACCCGTTGCGTTCATCCACAGTGCGTCTCCAGAGAACTTGAGCTCACGGCCCACCTGGTGTTAAGTTGTTACCGGAGCCCATAGACTGCCACCTACCTCGAGACGTGAGTGCTTAGATCCCAGTTTTAACAGTACAACGTCTGCCCCACCCTTCAAACCGAAACGCATTACTGCTTCACGGCTGAAATAGGCGGGGTGGTGGTACCTACCCGCGCGGACTCACAAGACGACCTACCACCAGTACACACAGTACTGCCCTGGCACTACTACTAGCGTCTGACGGTAACCACTACCCTCGGTCCAGGTACGTTAGCCTGACGTCGGAAGCAACAGTCAAATGTTCTGATCCACGGGTCCACAAGTGAAGTCGCCGTGGCCTAAAGGATAAAGATGTCTGGTGCATTCGTATGCAGCGATGCACCGATGTTCGAATCTCAGGCGGGTACCAGCTTTTCTAATGAAATACGTACTCAACAAATGTTCACGATTGACTTCCACGGTGAAGGAATAACATCGTGTAATAAAAATCCAACCCGCAAAAATTATAATTTGCGTAATTACTGGTGGTAGGACCTCTTGTGAGTCCGCGCGGGTAGGTACCACCACCCTGCCTATTTCTGCCGTGAAGCAGTGATGCGTTTCGGTTTGAAGGGTAGGGCGGCCGTTGTAACTATACTGACCTTAGAACTCATCTCAAAGTAGGTAGCGCATTTACGTTGTACATGTCTATGGGCTCCAGTAACCACTTTACACCAGCTGGGCTGTGAGCTCGTCCACTCATCTAAGAAATAAAAATAAAACCCGTCATGAAGTCTCGTTGTAGGCGTGACGTCACGGCGTCACTAGCGACTGACCTGAGCGACTGCCTGAAGATGTTCAGCCTCTTCTCGTGCTCCAGGTCGCTCGCGTACTGCTTCTGGTGTTTGACTTTGAAACTGTAACGACATGAGATACGTTATTTAACTCGCATTTGAAGGTACAGTGGGCACGAGGACTGAAAAATATTTCAGACTTTTTGGCGGGAACGCGAGGAGTGAAGTTGTGTGATTTGTTATATTTTGTCTATTTAGTGTTTCTTCAGGTTTAAATGTGTAATAACGGTGGTTCATTAACTGTTTAATATCTGTGAAAGTGCACAAATGTGGGAAAATGAAACAAAGCTGCTGGACGTAACTTCTCGGGTTCCTCCAAAAAGTCCACTGAAAAAATCTCAGTAAATGACCACCATTTTACTGAGATTATATTATTTCATCCCATATCATCTCATTTCATTTAAGTTCATTCCAGTTGATTAATGTCTCAAATTAATCATCTTCATTTCATTTCACTCCATTTTATCATTTTTCATAAAAATAAGAATATAAATTAAAATAAGACGTGACTTAAAGGTCTTAGTTACCAGGTCATAAAATCCATTAAAAAAAAATATGTCAATTTAACTTTTTCTTCTCGCTCGCTCACAAGGAGCTGTTGATGCTGTTGTAACCTGATGTGTATCGCACTGGTACACAGAGCCCTGACAAGTTATTTCCACTTGACCCTGTCCTGCGCTTGCTCCTTGACAAGTTTTGCATTAACTGTAGGCAGCGGCTTGGCGCTGCCCCTGGCATTGCTGAAGTCCATGGGCGACGGTAACCACTTACCATCAGGTGGGCCGTATGCTTGTCTGCCTACAAGGGCAATAAAAAAAAAGCATCACTCCAGGTCAGGCCAGTAGTCTTCATCTCGCTCTCCTCTCTGGCCAAGCGTTTACAAGACGAAGAGCTAATCTCAAATATTCTATCTTATACCTTTAAACGAGCAATTCTTGTATATATAATATATAATCTGAATCTCGGAAAGGGCTCCAACGATTTTCATAAAATTTAATATACAGGGGATTTCAGGGGCGATAAATCGATCTAGCTACGATTTATTTTCAGAAAATGTTGTTTTATTCGTGTTTTCAATAATCAACTTTATCGATAATCAACTTTATGACTCTTCCCGACATCTATTGGCGAATAATAATACTATTTTTCTTAATTGAGGGCAACTAACCGCTTTATGGACACAAAATGGCGTTATCAAAAAAAAAAACTTCATCATCTAGTCATTCAAAATCTCGTCATCATCAAGTTATCATTATCGAGGACGCCATATTTAAATACAAGTATATCCTGGTTCCACTCGCCCAACTGTGACGAATCTAATCGAAATGCATCTTTCTAAATATGTTGATAGACGCAGTCCCCCCGACCCCCCAGGACCCCGACCACCCAGTTAACCACCCCCTCGGCTCCCCGGTCCCCCACTCACCGCTCGAACTCGTCGTGGACGTGGGCGTCGTGCACGGGCCGCACGAACTCCTTCATCGGGTTGAAGGTGGCGAAGTGCCGCGAGCCGGGCCCCGGGAACCCAGTGCACTGCATGTCTGCAGCGAACGGAACACACTTATTTTTTTAAATGAAACTTCTTTAGAATCGTTGTGATTTCAAACTCGATGAAACGAAAAAATAAGTCCATAGAGACACAAACACATAAATGTATAGGATTCAGCCGGCGAGAGAATGAGATAGAACACATTAGACGTTCTCCAGTGTGGTTTTGTTTTAATACAGCGCCATCTATGAGATTTTTTATTACTAACGTGTGTATGAAATCTCGTGTAGTGAATTTTAATTTAGGATTGTACATGAAGTTAAAATATAAATTCACAGAGGGCGCTACCTCATACTATAAAAGACGATTTACAATTATTTACCAATGACAAATATAATATACTATACTTAGACATTTAGGATAATTGTATTTTAATTTTTGAAGGTTTCACTTCTACCACGTGTGAATTGCACACATGTTTTTTTTTTTTCTCCTACCTATGCTGATAGCCTTGGGAGGCTATATCAGCGCTACCCTAGCGTGTAGGTGAGCTCTCGGGGCTCAAACTGGGAGTGTTACTATCACTGGCCAAGAGCAGTGCTTCGCAGAATCTACCACCGGATCGGAAACGCGACCCACTGAGAAGATCCGACGAGAAACTCAGTGGGCTGCGTCTGTGGGTCAATTCACTCGTCGAGCCCTTCGTCGCGAGCGACGGGTTCATCGAGGAAAGAACACACGAAACATTGCTTCTGACGCCGATCGGTAGCCGCCCACGGCTAATAGACACGAAGCCAAAATTCTAGTTGTATCGTAATACGACTGCCCTACAGTCTGCTTAGTTTTTTTTTTTATTGCTTAGAATGGTGGACGAGCTCACAGCCCACCTGGTGTTAAGTGGTTACTGGAGCCCATAGACATCTACAACGTAAATGCGCCACCCACCTTGAGATATAAGTTCTAGGGTCTCAAGTATAGTTACAACGGCTGCCCCGCCCTTCAAACCGAAACGCATTACTGCTTCACGGCAGAAAGAGGCAGGGAGGTGGTACCTACCCGTGCGGACTCACAAGAGGTCCTACCACCAGTAAAGTTAGTACGAGTTTTGTAACGTTCTCGATAGCGAGAAAGTTAGCTTAAATTTGTATGGAGTCGAAATGTTTGCCTATATTTGCCGCTAGGGGCGCTGTTCCAACTGCATACAAAATTGAGTTATCTTTACGCCATCGAGAACGTTAAAAAACTCGCACTGAGCACACAGAGCCGCGGCGGTGGCGGATGTGGACTCTTTACGAAGTGTCCACTAGCTAGACGTGACCGTAACGTTAATGTTGTTACAAGCTCAGGCTCAGGATAAATAAAAACGCTTCACGTCATACTAATTAAAACGGGAACATTCGAGAATATTCTAGTTGTTTCGATATCCGTTTTTGCTATCTGACGCCAGATGGCAGTACAGTACGCTAAGTACTGCACTATACTTACTATACTTATTATACTATTCTATATTGTTTTTGTTGTGTTCACATCTAAAAGGATGAATTCAATAGTGTATTAATTTTAATTTTTTTTTTTTTATTGCTTAGGTGTGTGGACGAGCTCACAGCCCACCTGATATTAAGTGGTTACTGGAGCCCATAGACAACTACAACGTAAATGCGCCACCCACCTTGAGATATAGTTCTAAGGTCTCAGTATAGTCACAACGGCTGCCCCACCCTTCAAACCGAAACGCATTACTGCTTCACGGCAGAAATAGGCGGAATTTAAGTTAAATGTTAACGTGTGTAGATTTTATGCATTTTTATGAAACTAATAAATAAATAAAACAGTATATTGACTACTGCACTAAACTTACTACCACACTATACTTGGTATTTATTTATTTATTTATTGTTTAGGTGGTTGGACTAGCTCGTGGCCCACCTGGTGTTAAGTGTTTACCGGAGACCATAGACATCTACAACGTAAATGGCGCCACCTACCTTGAGATGAGTTCTAAGGTCTCAGTATAGTCACAACGGCTGCCCCACCCTTCAAACCGAAACGCATTACTGCTTCACGACAGAAATAGGCGGGGTGGTGGTACCCACCAGTGCGGACTCACAAGAGGTCCTACCATCAGTACTACTGCACTATACTTACTACTGTCAACTTTGAAGACGTCAGGATCGATTTCATCAATATTGTAATCTTCATAATCCAGATAGTAATGATCGTAGTGGGAGCCCAGGAGCGAATTGAAACCTTTCATCTCATATCTGTTTATTGATAAAAAAAAAGTATAAATAATAATTTAATTCACTTACATTTTATTTTTATTTATTTATTTAAAAATAAAATGTAAAATTAAAACTGCAGTGGGAGGTCCCCTAAATGAGTGCAGTAGAATGGCCTCGAGCAGGGAGAGAGATGGCGCGACATCGTGAGACGCATCAAGTCTGCCCCTTCCAACACTACATGACGACCACGACCACTCTGTCAAGAGTGACACGACTGAGAATTTAAATAAACAATAATCTAATTCACTTACATTTTATTTTTATTTATTTATTTAATATATTTTGTACACACAGCTGTTAGAAGAAACACGGCAATAAGGATGCAGAGTACAAGGGCACTACTTATTTCATGTTGAAATCTCTTCCAGTAGACCAGCAGAAGGAAAGAAGAATTAGGAACACAAACTTAGTGCATACAGTAAACATTACATATAATAATATATACATATTACAAGATACAAAACAATATATCGACGCTTGAAAGGCAAACGTGACTAAGCGATAATGCGTGAACTTTACAGTAGACTAATTTAAAGTTGAAATCCTGAAAAAAAAAAATATTTTAACGAATCTAGCTGTAGTAGAGTCTAGCTGGTAGCTGTAGGATTGAAACGATTTTAATAGACCTAGAAATATATATTTTTTGCGCATCGAATATGGTTATTGCCTATCATTTATGTACAAAGCAGTTATTGTCGCTTAGTCACGTTTGCCTTTCAAGCGTCGATATGTATATACATACAAATACACACACACAAACATATATATTATATATACACACATACATATACTTACTTTATATTATAATATAATACATTATACAAATATTATACAATATTACATTATACATTTTTTTAAACTTTACAAAAAAAAGATATTCGTGTATGTACTAAAAAAGCTTGTGATGAGACGTTAAGATGTATAAAGTCGTATATCAAATCAGTGTTTTAAACTTTTCAAAATAAAGTTTTTTTTTAATGAGATTAAAAAAATTATAGATGTAGTGAGAATGTATTTTCCTTCGGGAAAACACGGATCTTCATTTTCGCAGGGCACGCGATATTTTAGGTAATTTTTTTACAACTTGGCTTACATTATTGGAGTTTTAGTAAGGACTCCTAATTTTTTTCAAAAAAGATTATCGCTTATGTCACTCGGGAATAGTGTAGCTTCCAAGCAGTGAAAGAATTTTTCAAATCGGTTCCGTAGTTTCGGAGCCTATTCAATACAAAGAAACAAATCTTTCCTCTTTATTATATTATAGTATAGAAGTATAGATGTCAAATGTCATAATGAATAATGTCATTGTACTGAAGCTATTTGAGAGATCACGATAAATACGAACTTTACCGTAAAATTACGAAGGAAAATCTTTTCTCACTATATCTATAGTTCCATCAATATCTATTAAATGTTTTCGGGGGTCATTGGTACAGCCATCTTCTTCGTCATCAATATACTGATTCCTTAACCCTGAGTGACCTTACTGCGGAACTTCCAAACCATGAGGTCGTACTTACCGGACCGGTATGGGCACAGAGTCCCCTTTCAAAGTCTTCTTGTATTTAACCCACATCGTGTATTTGTTTAGCTTATCGCCGACCGGCTGTACCATCTGCCATTTGGCCGTGTCGGCATCCTGCATTGTTTCTGTGCCTATTGTAAATGAACAAAAAAAGAACACAAGCTTACAAGAGCTTCAATAGAATGTTTTGTAAGCTCTGTATACGAGTGACCATCGAATCCGAAAAGTTTACATAAATTACTTCGTAAAACAACTTTATATTGCCCTTGTAGGCAGACGAGCATACGGCCCGCCTGATGGTGAGTGGTTACCGTCGCCCATGGACTTCAGCAATGCCAAGGGATGCGAGAGGTTGATGAGATGAGCTTATACCATATACTGGTGGTAGGACCTCTTGTGAGTCCGCGCGGGTGGGTACCACCACCCTGCCTATTTCTGCCGTGAAGCAGTAATGCGTTTCGGTTTGAAGGGTGGGGCAGCCGTTGTAACTATACTTGAGACTTTAGAACTTTTATCTCAAGGTGGGTGGCGCATTTACGTTGTAGATGTCTATGGGCTCCAGTAACCACTTAACACCAGGTGGGCTGTGAGCTCGTCCATTCATCTAAGCAATAAAAAATAAAAGCTTCGTCAGACAGAATCATCCGACGGCAGCTGCGTGAGACTCACCGATATATTTAAAATCGGTCATGTCCGGTAGCACTGATTGGATGTCTTGGAGCTGATCTTGCGTCGAATTGACTTGCAGGCACGTCTCCTTGTTCATCTCGGTTTCCGTTGTGACCGGCGCGATCTGTTTATTGCAAACGTTATATACGTACATACATGTATATAACGAGGGATGAAAGGGTATTTGGTTTAAGCGTTACATTACGCTTAATACGCGAAAATTATCTTTGTAATTAAAGATCCTTTTTTTTTTTGGTATTAGCATCAACTGTTCGATATTTTTAATTTAACTTCAATTATGTTTTTAATTCTATCAGCCCACAGACGTCCACTGCTCGACACGGGCCTCCCCCAAGCCTCGCCACAAAGACCGGTCCTGCGCTGCCTGCTTCCAGCGGATCCGGACCGGAACGTTCTTGAGTGGCGACCACGTACCGGAAGACGTAGCGTGGGTAGGCCTCCCACACATTATATTTACCACATTCAAATAGATGAAGAAGCTTTATGTTATGATATTTTTTCCAAATTTTAAGCTTTTAATCCTTTCACCCCTCGATATAGAATGTGATCTTTAAAATCTGAATTACACACGCAGTTTCAGAGAACAGAGGCCTACCTTTATAGAAGTACCGTAGGGCGGGTAGACCGCTGACGTGAACTGGTAAGTCTTGACCATACCTCCATAGTAATCGATTCTTGATTTGCTGTTCTTACTGTCGTACCTGATAACGAAATGACACCACTTACTTCCGTTCGAGATTTATTGCTTAGATAGCTGGACGAGGTCACGGCCCACCAGTGTTAAGTGGTTTCCAGTGTCCATAGACATCAACTATGTAAATGTCGCTAGCCAACTTGACGCATAAGTTTTACAGTACAACAACTGCCCCTTCAAACCGAAACGCATTAGTGCTTCACGTTAGAGGTATCTAGATCCACTAACGGTGCTTTTAGGTCCCTCAAGCCCCAGTCACCGTCCTCGCCAAACCCGTCGCTTGTGACGAAGGGTTCGACGAGTAAATTAACCCTCAGACACAGCCCACTGAGTTGCTCGCCGGATCTTCTGTGGGTCGCGTTTCCGATCCGGCGGTAGATTCTGCGAAGCACGGCTCTTGCTAGGGTTCGTGTTAGCAACGTCGTCAGGTTTGAGCCCCGTGAGCTTACCTACTAGTTAAGGTTACGCTGAAATAGCCTCTCAAGGCACTCAGCTAGATAGGAAAAAATTAGAGGTAGGCAGGGTGGTGGTACTTCGGTGTTCCGCAGGGGTCCGTCCTGGGCCCCCTGCTGTGGAACATCGGCTACGACTGGGTCCTGCGGGGCGTCATTCGGGGACCCCTCCCCGGGCTGAGCGTAATCTGTTACGCCGACGACACGTTGGTCGTGGCTCCGGGGAGGGACTACCGGGAGTCTGCCCGTCTGGCGTGCGCAGGCGTGGCACACGTCGTCACTAGGATCCGACNACCCGAAAAAAAAAAAAAAAAAAAAGGGTGGTGGTACTTACCCATGAAGGGTCACGGGACGCCCTACCACCAGTAATTACGCAAATTATAACTTTGGCGGGTATGATTTTTATTACACGATGGATCGTTCATCGTTTGAGTCTTACGTGAACAATAGTTTAGTACGTATTTCAATAGAAAAATTGGTATCTGCCTGCGGGATTCGAACACCGGAACTGTCGCATCGCTTGATACGATTGCACCGAGCGTCTTAACCTTAAGGCCGCGACGACGTCATTCAATTTGTATGAGACACATGGTTGCTAGACCTAATGGACGGTATTACGAATCCACTCTAGTAGCTACTACCATCCTATTTCTGCCGTGGTGCATTCAGACTTAAGGGTTGGGACAGAAAGTTGATAGTGATAGTAATTTGTTATTTATTTCTTTCATAAAAATAAAATTACAGCTACGAGTATCATTGAGATTTAGGGCCCATATTTTAAAATTGTTAACAATATTTCGTAATGTCTATTGAGGGAGGAGGAGATGCTACCCACTGCTATCCACTAACACCGTGGGACGTTGAGGGGTTTTAACTCGTCTAACAATTTAAAAAGATTAATTAATTATTAAAGACGCACGTGCGAATTTAATACGACACATCAAATTCAAAAATACTAGAGGTCCCGCAGTAGTCGACTATGATTAATTGGAATTGTAAGTTTGTACACTATTATGATTGTATTTTATACTTCTATAATCACAAATTTCGCCAAGACTACACTATAAAAATATTAACAAAGACAAACAATATTTAATCTATTCTTAATTTGACAACAGACGTCAAGAACAAAAGTTTGACAATAAATAGTATGCATGCGTGTGTGCGTCAAATACATGGTATGTAGTGTGTGTAATGTTTTCTTTATTGATTTAATGTATCTTTTATGCATTATTTAAAAAAAATATTAGCATTGTGCACTTCTTCTCTATATTCTCTATAAGTGTGGAAAATTTCATACTCNTTGACAATAAATAGTATGCATGCGTGTGTGCGTCAAATACATGGTATGTAGTGTGTGTAATGTTTTCTTTATTGATTTAATGTATCTTTTATGCATTATTTAAAAAAAATATTAGCATTGTGCACTTCTTCTCTATATTCTCTATAAGTGTGGAAAATTTCATACTCCTCCGTCCACGCAATTTTCGTAAAAAGGGATACACATTTTTGGCTTCACGTATTAATATATAGATTCATCCTTATCACTACATAGTATAAAACAAAGTCGCTTTCTCTGTTCCTATATCTGTCTGTCCTTATTTATGCATAAATCTTTAAAACTACGCAACGGATTTTGATGCGTTTTTTTTAATAGATAGAGTGATTGAAGAGAAAGGTTTATACGTATAATAACATCCATTAAATAGTGGAGAAATCAATAATAAATTACAGTTTCCGAAGCGAAGCGAGGGCGGATCGCTAGTTGCTTATAAATTGTTTAGAATAATAAAATCACACTTTTTCGCATATCTAGTTCAAAGCTACGATGAGTCTAGCGATAATAAAAGGGGTCATTCGTTAAAATTTGTATTGTCATCAGTTCATTAATAAGCACGCAAATGCATGTCTCAACTGAGCAAGCAGAAATCGAGTCGAACAAAATGCTGAAGTTGTTAATAAATACAATTTAGGTTATAACCTAGCTTATTTTTCGCTTTCAAACTAATATTCTTAACGCAATCGACTTTTATTTAATAATAAAATATTTTTATTTCACACCTTTTTTTAATATTTATTTCTAAATTAGTACATAATCTTTAATTATATGATACATTGCAGATTGCAATTTTAAGAACCTATGCTGATAGTCTTTAGAGGCTATTTCAGCTTCACCCTAACATGTCGGTGAGCTCACGGGGCTCAAACCGGAGTGCTGCTAACACTGGCCCTAGCAAGAGCCGTGCTTCGCAGAATCTACCACCGGATCGGAAACGCTACCCACTGAGACGATCCGGCGAGAAACTCAGTGGGCTTAATAGGTATAATTTATTGTACCAATAACAAACGAAGAATGAGTCACTAAGTTGTTTTAAGATGTTTCTAGAACAAGGCGAGGGTTAATGATTCTTTACATATTTATGACGAGAGATTCGATTGATATGTATGTACGTTCGTGTTATAAACTGATAATAGCTAACCTTTGCTTGTGTCAACTTTCGTATCGTGTTTACTTATGTAAATCAAAGGATAGTTGCTTTATATACATACTAGCGGCCCGCTCCGGCTCCGCTCGGGACTTTAACAAAAATTTCAACGATATTTGACGTTGTTTTATTTTTTTAAATAAAAGAACACTTATTGCGGCATAACTACAATAGTTAGACATATGTTGTCCCGACACTTTTTGTAATCAATAATGTGTTCTACATAGTCGTAGTACATTATTTTATTCTTTCATCAATAGTTTTCGCAGCGCACGCGATGTAATGAATATTTTCGGTCATTTTTTTACACCTTAGTTAGTTTATATTATTGGAGTTTTAGTAAGGATCCTTAATTTTTTCACTCGGGAATAGTGTAGTTTCCAAACTGTGAAAGAATTTTTCAAATCGGTTCAGTAGCTTCGGAGCCTATTCAATACAAACAAACAAACAAATCTTTCCTCTTTATAATATTAGTATAGATGTATATGGACCGTTTATTTTGAAAGTGGTGTAAGTCCATTTTTGAGAAAAATGAGCTATCCCGTAATTCATGCTTAATTAAATGTAATTTTTTTATATATAACTAGTCCGTGTTTAATTTCTCATAAAAAAATCCCTTTTTTATACAACTTAAAATCGGTCGGTAAATGAAATTGCATAATCATCGATTATGAAATTGATGTAAGTCCAATTGACAGAGGTAGGTGGCATAGCCAGACCTCATATGATTTGCCTGTATTTTGAAATCAACAAATATAGTATATATCAACCTTTAATTTTCTCGAAACAAAAGAAAATGGACTTACACCACTTTCAAAATAAACGGTCCATATGCACATTATACCGTGATGCCAATGGAGACTAGAAGTTTCTTTTGGGCTATTCCCAATAATTCTTCTTCGTCTTTTTATCGTAGATGGCTTGGTAGCCAGCGGCTTGGCTCGGTAGGCAGTGGCTTGGCTCTGTCCCTGGCATTGCTGAAGTCCATGGGCGACGGTAACCACTCACCATCAGGTGGGCCGTATGCTCGTCTGCCTACAAGGGCAATAAAAAAAAGGCGTCGGTAGACATTTGTACTGTAAAAGCGGAGACTTAGAAGAAATACGTACTTAACAAATTTTAATGTTCACGATTGACTTCCACGGTGAAGGAATAAAATCGTGTAATAAAAATCAAACACGCAAAATTATAATTTGCGTAATTACTGGTGGTAGGACGTCTTGCGAGTCCGCATGGGTAGGTACCACCTCCCTGCCTATTTCTGCCGTGAAGCAGTAATGCGTTTCGGTATGAAGGGTGGGGCAGACGTTCTAACTATACTATGAGATCTTAGAACTCATGTCTCAAAGTGGGTGGCGGCATTTACATTGTTGATGTCTACGGGCTACAGTAACCAGTGAATACCAGTTTGGCCGTGAGCTTGTCCACCCATATTAGAATATTATTAAAAAAACCCATTAAATTGATTTAGACATAAAACTACTTTTACGGTTGGAACTATTCCTGTCCTGGGGATCGGACGTCCAGATGAGAGTTTAAGGGAGTTCTTTACCGGGTGGTCATTCTACTAGTTCCATATACCTGTCAATGCAGGGACCTCATAACGGTATAGCGTCCCACCCACTGACCACGGACCACCCACACGTCGGTCCCACACATGTATCCATTTTGCAATGTGTATGACCTCTAGATAACAAATTAATACCAAATAATTCACCAAAAATTTTCATTTGCAAAACCGAAACCCATATTTCATAATACCTATTTTGTCTCCAATAAATATTCATATTAACCACATAATTTATCCCTATAATTTACCCTATAAACATTAATAAAATGACAAATATTTACGAACACCAGTGTCTTATCAAACCACAATAACCTCATGATAAGAGTTCAACTAACATACAACAAACAGTGCAAGGGAACAAATGTTAATCTCGAGACACAATGTTAAATGTGTCTCGAGATTAACCAGTTTTAATTAAGAGTAAATAACATGGATTTACTTAAAATTAGAGTTCACCTTATAATGGTCATGCTAAAAACTATCTAACAGCAGACTTTATTATTGCCTCGTGTCATGGTAGTGAGGTGAAATGTATTTGTATTAATTTTATGACTTCATTTCATGACTTAATTGTATGCTTTTAAATGTATAAAGTTACATCAGATTTTGCCTGATACCAGTCCTCTTCAAACCTTCTCAATTTTGATGTCATTACCGGTGAAGGAGCGCCCAAGACCATGCTCTGCCTCTCTTTGCACATTATCATTATGACAAAATGGACTGTCGCAATCTCTGACATCACTACGTAATAAGGCTTAACGTGGCCAGCCGATCAAGTAGATCAACATTTGTGACCGCTGGTCTGCAGTTTATGAAGCAATGTGGTGAAATTTATGTGGGCCAGTGCTAATTAATTATCCTTCATGCTATCAGGATTTTGGCTCATTAGGATTGGATGCTTGAATGGGGTGGTTTAGTGAGTTTAATTCTCTTACACATACCACCAATACATGCAGTGATGCTCTGAAGAGTATAACACCCAGACAAAAATGGGTCATGTTGCTAGTTCGTACATGGAAGATATACCAATACATGCCATATCTTGTTTATTTCTGCTGTAAAGGATAGGATGTTTGATAGGATTTGAGACTTTAGTATTATGTCCTGCGGTGGGCAACAACATTTCAACATCCATAGACATTTAAACTAATATGTAAGTAAAATTATATTATAGCTTAAAGGTTGAAATCACATTGAATAGCTAAACAGCTATATATCGCACATACGGTGCAATTAAGTCACTTATGCAAATTATGTATTTTTTCAGGAGAAACGTTGGAAAATTCAACATCTTTCTATATAATTCTTATATAGTTCTACTAGGCTATAGAAATAAAATGAATTACAAACTTCATCAGTAAAACCAAAACATCTCTCTTTCTACTCACTAATAACTATTAAAAAATGTATTTTCTCATACTCAGTTCAGTGTTAAAAACTCAGTCATCGTTCTCGCCGAACCCATCGCTTGCGACGAAGGGCTCGCCGAGTGAATTAACCCTCAGACACAGCCCACTGAGTTTCTCGCCGGATCTTCTCAGTGGGTCGCTTTTCGGCTCTTGCTAGGGTTCGTGTTAGCAACGTCGTCAGGTTTGAGCCCCGTGAGCTCACCTACTAGTTAAGGTTACGCTGATATAGCTTCTCAAAGCTATCAGCATAGGTAGGAAGAAAAAAAAAATGTGTTAACAAAAATTGGATAAGTAACTTTATAGCACCGTATGTGCGATATGTTCACTTACCAAGCATAGAATGGCTCATGCAGTTCAGCATAGGGTATATTTAGGAGTCCCTTTACTGTGTATACCGGACTCCATTGTGGTGGCGACCCTAGAGCATCAAAACTTTGGTTAGTGAGAAATTTAAATACATCTTCATATCTTTGCCATATACATACTTAAAATCAAACACAGATCAACTAAAATTAATTAAAATATAAGAATATCCTTATTCCTTATATGAATTTAAAAAAAAATTAAAATATTTTTCCTCTTTAAATATTATTATAACAAAAATACATGAAAGAAATTTAATTTTTTATTTTTTAAACCAGTAATAAGTATTGAAGAGTGCATTATTAATATTATACCTTTATCGACATATCCAGATGCGAAGGCCACGAAAAAACACAACAACGCAGCGAATAACATGATTCGACCGCCGACCGACGCAGATCTGTGTGGATTGACAATGTCAAAAGTTTAACAAAAACATAATGAGTCCCCCACTATTTCAATTCAATGAAACGATTTTTTTTATTTAGTTTACTCTGATGTTCGCGTCCGCCTGAGATTGAGAGATTTTCAGCCTATAAAACCAGCAATGGATACAGAATTTTAAATAATGTAATAAAGTGTTTTCGTAGTGCCTAATAATACATTAAAGGGAAATTAATATCTTTTATTTTAGATATGTACCTATTTTGTTTACTGTTTTTAAGCATTAACGCTCTGAATTAACTTGGTAAACGACTGTAAAAAGAAATAAATATGGTTTGTGGGGCGTGAAATAAAATTATAACACCATTTACTTACTTATGTGATGTCTAGAAATAGTTGAAAAATATTTAAATTATCTTGTCGAATTCTAGACCGAGAATTCAAAATTTTGCAGTAAGATTGACACTTGACAGATAATTGAAACATTGTACTGTCAAAGTCCACCGATTTCAGTTAAATCTTCAAATAAAAGGACATTAAAAATTTTCACATTTACGTAATACTGGAGGCTTATATTTAAAAGTATCTGTGAAAGTGCACTAATATGGGAAAATGAAACAAAGCCGTTGGACGTAAATTCTCGGGATTCTCCAAAAATTCCACTGAAAAAATCTCAGTAAACGGCCACCATTTTACTTTATATTTCATCCCATATCATCTCGTCTCATTTCATTTAATTTCATCCCAGTTGATTAATGTCTTTAATTCTTCTTTTCATTTCACTCTATATTATCATTTTCCATAACAATATCCCATATCATATCATCTCATTTCAATTCATTTTAGTTCATTTCATGCCATGCTATGTTTCATATTAAATTAATCAGCTTCATTTCATTTCATAATACCATATTTCATAAAAAAATATATAATATATAAAAGATTAGGCTGTATGGTGTGATACCCTTGCTTTTCCATTTGGAAAAATAAAACTACTACAACTACCTAAATGTGTCGAAGTCAAGAACTGTGAAGAAGACGAAGTGTCAATTTGAAATGAAGTGTTTAGTTAAGTAAGTACTGAATTGTACTGGCTACTTTTAAGTACCGTATTAATTGTATTTAATTAACATTGCAATTCTGAACTATAGAAAATCTATTTCTCTGCAGTTCTGTCAGTAAAATCAATAAAAAAAATTACAATCAAACTTTTGTTTATAAAATTGTCAAAATATATAAAAGCTTTTTTATGTCTCTACAAAGTAATTCTCTTAAATTTTATTTAGATACACGGAACATGTAAATATTTGAATTTTTTTAATAGAAGAACTATTTGAGTAAAAAGTGAGTGAAAATGAGTAAAAAGCCCATATCGTTCGGTAAAATAAGTCTAAATTTTACTAAAGCAAAGGAATTTAATGATAAAAATGAAAAGAAATCGCCAGCAGGATTTGGAACCTTTGGTCGAACTCCTATACAAGAACAAAAAGAAATTGAAGAAATCACCGACGATTTAGAGAGCCAGCACGTAGAACAAGTCATGGGCATTAAAAACTTTGGTAAAAAAGCCAAAAATTTCAATTTAGATGAGTTAGTTGAGCAAGCAAAGAAAACTGCACAGGAAGCCAACAAAAAGAGGTTGGAAGCGGAATTGAATGCTGATAGAAATTCATCTTCTGATGACCAGGTTGGCAATACTATTGGAACCACATTGGCCAATGTTGACCAAAATCCTTCAAAAGATGATGACGAAGGAATAATAGGACCTTTACCACCGATGTCTCCGGACGCGAGTAAAGAACATGAAGAAGATAAAGAGGAGGATAGCTATGACGAGCTGAGTGGTTCTGATGATGAAGAAATAAGTTTGGTAAACAGAATACCAAATACACATGAGGTAAGAATCTAAATTTAAAGAAAACTCTGTTAAGCCATAACAATGACGTAGTGGTGAAGTAGAAAAACAACTTTTACTGACGGTAGGACATCTTGTGAGTCTGCATGGTCACCGCCTCCCTGTCTATTTCTACAGTGAAGCAGTAATCCGTTTCAGTTTGAAGGGTGGGGCAGCCTTTGTACTGTAAAAACGGAGACATTAAAACTCATATCTCAAGGTAACTTCTAGTAAGCAATTAACACCAATTGGGTTGTGAGCTCAACCACACATCTATGCAAAAAATTGTATCGTATGTATGTATGTAGTATGGTAGTTTAAATGGCCAAATAGGATGTGAATTAAACATTTGAATTGAACAATATTCATAACCTAATCTATATAAATAAAAACATTAGAGTGTCTGTTTGTAATAATAAAATAACCATTTTTTACTAAATGCATAAGTATATATACACAGTACATATACCAAAATAACATTTTTTTTATTTTGTCTGTCTGTCTGTTTATTCCGGGTAATCTCTGGAATGGCTGGACCGATTTTGACGGGACTGTCACTAACAGGTAGCTGATGATATAAGAAATAACTTAGGCTACTTTTTTAGACTGTATTAGATTCAGCAAAGCACAGCACTTGCTAGAGTCAGTGTTAGCTATTTTCTCAAGTTGAGCCCGCGAAGTCACCTACCAGCCAGTCCGTAGCTGGAATAGTCTTTTAAGCACCCAACAATTAGGTAGGGAAAAAAAGCGAATACTCCTGTATGTCGCATTCATGTCAGATGAACGCCAATAACTTACACCTTTTTAAACTAATAAAAATACACACAAAGACAAGCTGAACTATATGTTAATTTTTTTAAGCCTACAATAAAAGTTATTGTATTATAATAAGTTCTCGGTATACACTTAATTGAACTGACTCTTAAAGTTAGTTAGGATTACTTTAAAAAAATAGATTACATTAATATCCTTTACACTATTACATATAGGTCAAGGTAATTAAATTAAGAGTATGACATTTTTCAGGTAGAAATGCATCATGGTTCAAAAGCAGTTATAGCACTTGCTGCCGATCCTTCTGGAGCTAGACTAGCCACTGGATCCATTGATTACGATGTATCCTTCTGGGATTTTGCAGGTAAAAAGACTGGGAATCATTGTTAAAACACTTTAACATTACATTTCTGACATTACGAACACAATATTTAACATTATTTATTTCAAAAGCAATAAATATTTGATATTAGCTTTTTAAGTATTGTCTTTGATTTTTAGTAAACAAAACTGATATTCAACTACAAAACGTAGTGTCCATAATCCTAATTTCAGCTATCAAATCATGATAGAAAAGTTTACTTTATGAGTAACTAGCGACCCGCCCTCACTTCGCTTAGAGAACTGTAATTTATTATTAATAACAGTATTTCACTATTTAATGGATGTTATTATACATATAAACCTTCCTCTTCAATCACTCTATCTATTAAAAAAAAACGCATCAAAATCCGTTGCGTAGTTTTAAAGATTTAAGCATACATAGGGATATAGGGACAGAGAAAGCGACTTTGTTTAATTTTATACTATGTTGTGATGTCTATATACACATGCACAAATTGCTACTTCGTACCTTGAAACATGAGGTTAGTGTGTGTTTTACATAGCATCTGTTCCAATATATGTAACTATAATTGAGACCTTAGAACTTATATCTCAAGATGGGTGGCGCATTTACGTTGTAGATGTCTATGGGCTCCAGTAACCACTTAACACCAGGTGGGCTGTGAGCTCGTCCACTCATCTAAGCAATAAAAAAAAAGTCAAAGAGTAGGCTTGTGTGTGTGTGTACAACTCAATCAACTTAACCAAAGTACTCTTTTAGGTATGGACTCGTCAATGCGTTCGTTCCGCACTCTTCAGCCCTGCGAGAACCATCCTATCAAAGCCCTGCAGTACTCAGCTACAGGAGACTCGATCCTCGTGGTCAGCGGTTCAGCACAAGCTAAAGTACTCGACAGAGACGGTTTTGAAGTTTTAGAATGCGTGAAAGGAGATCAGTATATCACCGATATGGCAAAGTGAGTTTAAGAGTAACATGTAAACAGTTACTGGTGGTAGGACCTTTGTGAGTCCGCACGGGTAGGTATCACCACCCTGCCTATTTCTGCCGTGAAGCAGTAATGCGTTTCGGTTTGAAGGGTGGGGCAGCCGTTGTAACTATACTGAGACCTTAGAACTTGGCGCATGGGTGGCGCATTTACGTTGTAGATATCTATGGGCTCCAGTAACCACTTAACACCAGGTGGGCTGTGAGCTCGTCTACCCATCTAAGCAATAAAAAAAAAATACTAAATCTACCTATTTCTGCCCCTAAGCCGACGTCACTCGTTCCAGTATTAAGTGTGGTAGAGCAATTATAATATACAATTGAAGATTAGATCTCAGGTCTCAAGATGATTGGCGGTGATCACATTGTGATAAGTTGGTTAGTGAAGTATGATTGTTCACCCTTCTGCGCAATAATAAGTAAATAAAACTGCATATGTTTACTAACATGTATTGAAGATCAGGCATCAAACATACTGATCAAGTTAAAAAAAATTTTTTTTTATGCTTTGGTGGATGGACGAATCCACAGCCCACCTGGTGTTAAGTAGTCACTGGAGCCCATATACATCTACAAGGAAGTCAATCGTGAGCAATTGTTTAGTACGTATTTCATTACGAAAATTGGTACCCGCCTGCGGGATTCGAACATCGGTGCATCGCTAGATACGAATGCACCGGACGTCTTATCCTTTAGGCCACGACGATTTCGAAATAATAGAAGAGTATTATTATCATAAAGCTTACCATTTAGCAAACTTGATTTCACACCAGAATAAATCGCATTGCAGGACGAAAGGTCACACGGCGTCCTTGAACAGCGGCTGCTGGCACCCTCACATCCGCGAGGAGTTCATGACCTGCTCTCAAGATGGAACGCTCAGGCTCTGGCTAACGGAAAATCCAAAACAACAGAAATCCGTCATCAAACCCCGTCAGCAAGGCGGCTTAAAGACCAACCCCACCGCCTGCACATTCTCCAGAGACGGTAACACTGTAGCGTGCGGCTGTTTCGATGGCTCCATCCAGATGTGGGACCACAGGAAGAACTTCGTCAACACCACCACCTTGCTCAGGGACGCTCATCAGAAACAGACAGAGATCACGAGCATCGCGTACTCATACTTAAGGCAACACCTGGCCACTCGCAGTAACGATGATACGCTAAAACTGTGGGACTTGAGGAACTTCAAGAAACCCATCAAAGTGTTTGCGGACTTGTTCTCGAGATACGAACAAACCGACTGCGCCTTTAGCCCAGACGACTCTATGGTGTTCACGGGCGAATCTCTCCAGCGAGGCCAAGAGGTGGGCAAATTGATATTCTGGGACACGAAAACATTCGAACAGGTCAAAACGATTGAAGTAAGTTCCTCCCACGTCATCAAAGCGATGTGGCACCCGAAATTGAATCAGATATTCGTCGGATGCGGCAACGGTGTCGTCAAATGCTATTACGATAAAAAGAGAAGTCTCCGCGGCGCCAAGCTCTGTATAGTGAAGACGCACCGGAAAAAGGACACTATCGAGGTGGTGAGCACGCAGCAGATCATAACCCCACACGCTTTGCCCCTGTTCAGACAAGAAAAACTTCGGACCAGCAAGAAAAAGATGGAAAAGGAGAGGCTGGACCCGGTTAAGTCGCATAGACCAGACCTGCCCATTACCTCAGGGCAGGGTGGGAGGGTAGCTGCTTCGGGTAGCACTCTGAGCTCATTCGTCATCAGGAATTTGGGGCTGAGTAAGAGAGTTAACGATGAACAGGACCCGAGGGAGGCCATATTGAAATATGCTAAAGATGCAGAAGAGAATCCCTTCTGGGTAGCTCCGGCTTATAAGAAAACTCAGCCGAAACCTATCTTCCAAGGGTCTGACGAGGAAGGACCGTCCGATCCTAAGAAGTCGAAGACTTCGTGATGTGTAAAAGAATTAATTACATCGTTTGTAAATATAGGCTTTAAGTAAATTATAATACAGTCTTTCTTTTAGTTTACCTGCTCTTTTTTTAAACTTACGTGATAATATGTGGTAAATGGCTCGATATTATACTAAGGAAACCTTATTTGTACAATGAAGTAATATCATTGGATAGTAGAATCATGTAGGGATGTTTTGTGAAAGAACATTTTTGACTTCAAAATGAACACATCAAAACAAATTGAAAATGGGACGGCACACCTTTTAAAAAAAAAAAAAAATACAGTGCTTCATGAACTAATGTCGTGACGTCGTCGACGTGAAGTCGTCGTGGCCTAAAGGATAAGTAAGTCCGGTGCATTCGTATGTAGCGATGCACCGGTGTTCGAATCCCGCAGGCGGGTACCAATTTTTCTAATGAAATACGTACTTGACGAATGTTCACGATTGACTTCCACGGTGAAGGAATAACATCGTGTAATAAAAATGAAACCCGCAAAATTATAATTTGCGTAATTACTGGTGGTAGGACCTCTTGTGAGTCCACACGGGTAGGTACCACCGCCCCGCCTATTTCTGCCGTGAAGCAGTAATGCGTTTCGGTTTGAAGGGTGGGGCAGCCGTTGTGACTATACTGAGACCTTAGAACTATATCTCAAGGTGTGTGGCGCATTTACGTTGTAGATGTCTATGGGCTCCAGTAACCACTTAACNGTGAGTCCACACGGGTAGGTACCACCGCCCCGCCTATTTCTGCCGTGAAGCAGTAATGCGTTTCGGTTTGAAGGGTGGGGCAGCCGTTGTGACTATACTGAGACCTTAGAACTATATCTCAAGGTGTGTGGCGCATTTACGTTGTAGATGTCTATGGGCTCCAGTAACCACTTAACACCAGGTGGGCTGTGAGCTCGTCACACATCTAAGCAATAAAAAATAAATAAATAAAAAACTCCTTTTTGAAGTCTGTTACAGCAGTGCCACAGAGTCACGACTCTCGTAGAGAACCGGCGGTGTTCAATCAAGAGCAGTGACGTAAGGGACATGACGTCATAAGAATTTCATGACGTCACTGAATACTTTTTTTCCTACCTATGCTAGTGACCTCGAGGGGTCATACTAGACTCACCGAACCAGTAATTGAGCTCACGGGGATCTAATCTGGAGAACGGAATAAGAGTCGTCTTACGGCCAACACATATTTATATTTAAGCGGTAGGACAGTGACTTAGGGTCTGCCCCTGGAATTGCTGAAGTCCATGGGCGACGGTAACCACTCACCATCAGGTGGGCCGTATGCTCGTTTATGGCAATAAAAAAAAATAAGGGCCCAATTTTAAGACATGGGTGCGGGTTTTAGTGATAAATTGTCATTGCTATTGACAATGGTTAGGTTGTTCGTTTGCCAGGCCAACTAAGAACAAAAATGACGTTTCTTGTTTGATGACGATTCTTGTTTTTTTTTTCTAAGTATTCCTTGCGGTTTCCCTACAAGGGCAATAAAAAAAAAACATATTACACAACAAAAATGAAAGTCAGGTAACTCAAATCAAAATACTAAAGCTTACAACACATTTTAATTGGCTTACATTAACTACTAAGCTATTTATACAAATAACTGTATCCTACGCCTGCGCTGCGACATTTTCCATTTGTTCGCTAATTTCAGGATCCTCTTTTTTCAAAAAAGGCGATCTGGCTGGATTCTAAAACAAAAATAAACATTAGATTCTGTAGGAAGCCGTCTTGGTCTAAAAGATAAAACCCCGGTGTGCTTATATCAGACGATGCGACTGTGCCGAGGTTCGAATCCCGCTGGTAGGTACTAATTTTTGTAATGAAATACGTACATAACAAATGTTCACGATTGACTTCCACAATGAAGCAATTATACACTGTGTTATAAAAATCAAAACAGATTTTTTTTTAAATGTTCAATTACTAAACAACTCAGAAATAAACCAAGGCTTAATATGAGTGCCAGAATTTACGCGGTAATGTGCATGGACGTATACAATTTAAAAAGATGTGTGGTGTCGTGGGACACCGGATAGGAACGAAGATCCCAATTATAAAAATATTAATTTAAAGTTCTATTCGAGGTATGAAGAAAGAGAGAGAGAGACAGACAGACAGACAGAGAAACATGCGACGCCGCACAGCTTACAATAGCTTACTATAGCAAAAAGTGTCCTGAAAATTTTTCGTAAGAATTTATAGCAAAAAGTGACAACTTTTCGTAAGAATTTTTTCCGTCTAGCCCCCTTTCACAATGCGCGATAAGGAACTTCGTTCCAAAAATAAAAGTGAATGTCGGTTTGCAGAGAAAGTTTCTATAATAGTACCGTGAACGGACTACAGATGGCGCGCGAGTAGTTTCAAGGAATACATTAATTACAATAATAAATACTAATTTTACGGTTTATGTCGCGTTTATTATTTTTGTAATTATTTTTGAAGTTTACAATACAATAACCGTGGTCACGGACAACTATTGACAGTGAACTCCTCCGAATTCAACGGTAAAAATAGTATAAATATAACTCTTTCATAATGTGTGTTTTCTTTTTTATCGCTTACGTGATTGGCTAAGCTCACGATCCACCTGGTGTTAAGCGGTTAGGGAGCCCATAGACTACAACAACGTAAAGCCAACCACCTTGAGACGTAAGTTTTAAATCTCAGTTCTATGATACTACGGCTGCCGCACCCTTCCGAACGCATTACTGCTTCACGGCAGAAATAGGCAGGGCGGTGGTACCTGCCCGTGCGGACTCACAAGACGACCTACCACCAGTAAAATTTCTTTTTATTTTAATATGTGATACGTACCAATTTTTTGGCTCTGTCCATTAATATCGAGAAAGCGAAATGGTCCAGTACAACTCCTTTCGGTAAGGCTACTCCTTGGAAACGATACAACTGGCTCACACCATCTTCCGTTGGTCCTGATTATAAAACAAATCAACATAATTACAATTAAGTATTTGTTTAAGCTTTTTAAAATATTCCCACACAATTAAGAGTGCATTGATGATAGCCCCATTTTCCCTCTTGTTTCCAATGCTTATTGACCATTTTTCTACCTGTCTCACCTGATATTGCCAGAAGAAATTATTATATGGTTGACTTTTGAATCATGCGCATCAAATGAAGTCATTGTGACGCCAATCAATGGTTTTGGACTAATAAAGTGTTCATCTTTTTTTCTATCAATACTGGTAGCCTTGAGAGGCTGTTTCAGCTTCTCCTTGACATGTAGGTGAGCTCACGGGGCTCAAACCGGAGTGTTGCTAACACTGCCACCAGCAAGAGCAGTGCTTCGTAGAATCTACCACCGGATAGGAAACGCGACCCACTGAGAAGATCCGGCGAGAAAATCTCAGTGGACTGTGTCTGTGGGTTAATTTACTCGTCGAGCCCTTCGTCGCAAGCGACGGGTTCGGCGAGAACGGTCACCGGAAGCGTTCATCAAGGTGTAGTTTTTCAAAGAAGTGAATTATTGGAATAATAACAGACCAAAGGTGAGTTCCTGCGAAATTTCCTCTCCTGTACTCATTCTATTTATCGCACACTAAATATAAAATATGAAAACTAATCAAAAACAGTATTCACAAATTTTAATTCAAAGTTAATTCTCTTGATTTTAGCTCTGTGCTATGTGTATTATAATAATTCAAGGGTCTACCCCACCGTAATCTGTTATTCATCTACTTTGACAACCAATTATAATACTTATGTGCCTATCCAATTTCCCAACCAATTAAACTTGGGGGCGACGGTGTCTGTATCTTTCTAGTATGTTCCATAAATATGTAATAAGTCGCAATGGCCCAGTACGTAATACCTGTAAGTTTGTGGACAGCTGTGACTGCCAGCCGGCCTATCTGCGCAGTATTGCTGATGAGAGGTCCTCTAGATATATCAACGTGGTTCCCGGCTCTGTACAATATCACTTTACCTGAAATCGAATTATCATCGGTTAACGCACTGATAATATGTAAAAACACATTAAAAAGTATCACATAATAAAATATATAGTATATAAACTTTTCTTTATTGAAATGAAAAGCGATCTAAACTAAAATAAAAAGAGAATATCATCAATACAGTTGAAGTCAATTAATCATTATTCATTCAATCGATCATTCATTATATTCATCATTAATAATTACTCTAAAACTTCTCATCACATTTATATTCTAATCATTTAATTAAAATTTAATTACTCTAGCAATAACATGGTATTTTAGAAAATTTACAGTTAACTAAATCGATTTTGAAGTCCTCAATCTCACCGTTAGTCTTAGCAATATTTGGTATCTGTTTGCTCTTGTGCTCATTGTCCACAAACATTTCCAAAGCCAGCTCCTCTCCTACTTCCAGCCTTTCTAGAGGAACAGCTTTCCGACACAGTTTCACATATTCAGCAGCGAGAGTCAAAACCTCTTGGTGAGTTGGCTGCCAATCACTTAGAGTGGGAAGATCGACATCATAGATGAAAGAACCGCTTCTTACTGTCAATAGATGTTATGGAACAATCAGTTGCCTGTAGTATGTGAGATAGGTTTGAGTTATTAATGTGATGCTATTTGACTAAGCTTCATCTCAATACCACCAACAAGCATAGAAAATAGTATACATTGGAATGCTGAATCAGAGTTTGTGGAGAGGTTACTCAGATATAGGTGTGCAAGAACAATAGAATTTAATAATTATTATTTTTATACAATATTTACATTTATACAATATGCAATTGATATTTTTGCCCATTTTCTTCTATTACAGCTACCATTGCAAGTAGCATATGGTCGATGGAGACCTAGGCTAGAAAACCTTATAGCACGGTTTCACTTGTCTATGCTCATTGTAACTAAAGGCGGGATCAGTATAAGCTTAAAAATTGCTTTTATACAAAATATTAACAGATGCTCACTGTCGGGCAGTGGAAAACTGTGTAGGTGTACTGGAACTGTGTCCTTGAATGCAACGGTAGCGCACGCTCCAAGCATCAGCGAGCATGTGCGCCAGAATGCCTTGTTCACTTGCTGTGGTTCTGCTGCTTTGTAGTTTTGAAACTGTTTACAGAAATATAACCTTTTTTGTAACATAATTTAGCATCAGCATCAAGAAACTGTATAATATTCATTTTTTAATTTTTTATTGCTTAGATGGATGGTCGAGCTCACAGCCCACCTGGTGTTAAGTGGTTACTGGAGCCCATAGACATCTACAACGTAAATGCTTTTTTTTTTCCTACCTTAGCTGATAGCCTTAGGGGCTATTTCAGCGTAACCCTAACGTTTGTAGGTGAGCTCACGGGGCTCAAACCTGATGACGTTGCTAACACGAACCCTAGCAAGAGCCGTGCTTCGCAGAATCTACCACCGGATCGGAAACGCGACCCACTGAGAAGATCCGGCGAGAAACTCAGTGGGCTGTGTCTGAGAGTTAATTTACTCGTCGAGCCCTTCGTCGCAAGCGACGGGTTCGACGAGAACGGTGACCGGTGCTTGAAGTACCTAAAAGCACCGTTAGTGGATCAGGAGGATCCGAGATGACGTGTTTTGGGCGACGTCGACTGCTTTCCATTCTGTCCGCAGGATCGGGAATGTAGTTACCGGCGGCCACGATGAGAGGGTTCTCGTGTCGTGCCGCTTTATCGAAGTGGACGTAAATGCGCCACCCACCTTGAGATACCAGTTCTAAGATCTTAAGTATAACCTGCTTCAACTGCCTTCTTGAGAATAACCGGTAAATCTAATTTATTATATGGCTCACAAATCTGAGTTTTTTTTTACTTTTTACCATTATTGTAATCATACAGTTATATTTTGTCACTAGACAGGCATATGAGGTGCAACTGATGGTTAGTGATTTCAAGGGCCATCTTGACAGAAGGGAGGGAATCTAAATAGGTACTATTGGATAGCACATGGCAGTTTTATGGCAAAACAATCATGCAAGCTTACAATATGGCCCACCAGTATGACAAAGTTTAACTAATACTTTTAATCTATAAAGAAGATATCAGAATTCAAAATCTATATATGTATATAAAAATGAATTGCTGTTCATTAGTCTCGCTGAAACCCGAGAACGGCGGGACCGATTTGGTTAATTTTGGTCTTGAATTATTTGTGGAAGTCCAGAGTAGGTTTAAAAGGTAAAGAATGAATGAAAATGTTCGGAATTAAATAAAAATAACAATGTTGTTTTTCCTTTGATGTCCCCCCCGTCATACGGATTCCTTTTGTTTGTTTTAAATTTATTTTACACAAAAGCTTAGATCTTTTATTTATCGATTGAGGCACTACAAAGTCTGCCGGGTCAGCTAGTAGTGAAATAATTTAGGTACTAAATTAATCTAACTTGTACAAGTTTATTTAAATCGGATTCATCTGATATTAAAATTAGTATATACAGTCATATTACAATATCAGGATTGATGATATATAGTGGAAACTTAATACATATATTATTACCATGTGTTTGTGCATACATTAAACTACATTGTTTTCTTTATTTCATCATGCTAGCAGCATGTCAGAATTCAAAATAAATATCATTTATTTATCGTAATCTTTAATGGATATTTACCTCAAGCGTACAGCTTTCAGTCAGTGGTCTGTGCATATCCCAGTGTAGATTTCCATCAAGTAAAGCTAAAACGCTGCTCTCCATGTGCCATTCACTTAGATCTAAAAAAATAATAAATAATTAATACTATTTTTATGTGTTAAATTCGCATACAGTTTTCGTGAAGGACCAATGACCATGAACTTGAAAACTTTCGTTTTAATTACCGTCAGGCTGGCCTCGCGGTCGTCTGCCTCCAAAAGCAATAAAAAATAAAGCACGTGAATAGTTAATTTAAAAGTCAATATCTTACGTCTAGCACAGTCGTACGGTGTCGAAATGTTTTTATTCATTACCAAGGTGCAGTCTTTTGGTATGCCTTTGTATTGGACTTCGATTTTCTCGATCCTACCGACATTTTCTATCTGCCGTTTCTTTTCTAACGTGAACAAATAGCTGCGACGTTCTATCGCCTCTTGTGTGCTTAAAAATCCTACAAAAAATAACAAATAATTTAATAACCAATAACAACCACAAGCATTTGAGTAAAATTTAGTTTTAGTGTCATGTCTAACTTGTTATTTGTAGAGTGGAAAAATGGCTTTTTTCTGTTAGTCTTTTCATCAAACAAGTAACGTGCCGTTTCATTTTCATTTATTGTTTTGTTTTGTTGTAAATAAAGGTTTTTAATGAAACAGCTAGGTTATGACACAGATTATACATTATAGATTCTATTATATTTTTTAAGGGATTTTATGACCTGGTAACGAAGACTTTTAAGTCATGTCTTATTTTTATTTAAATTCTTATTTTTGAATCTGAATATAAATTAAAATAGGTAATTTTAATTTATATTCATATTTTTATGAAAAATGATAGAAGTGAAATGAAATGAAATGAAGATGATTAGTTTGAGACATTAATCAACTGGGACGAAATTAAATGAAATTAGGTAAGAAGATATGGGATGAAATACAATCTCAGTAAAATTGTGATCATTGACTGTAAATTTTTCATTGTACTTTTTGGAATATTCCGAGAAGTTACATCCAGCGGCTTTGTTTCATTTTCCCACATTTGTGCACTTTCACGGATATTAAACAGTTAATAAGCCAACCTGAAAAAACACTAAAAAGACAAAATAAAACAAATCACACAACTTCACTCCTTGTGTTCCCGCCAAAAAGTCCATAGATTCTGTATTATAGAAGTTGCGTTACAGATTATATACGTTTTGACTATAGACACCACATTGTTTCATTTATTGCATTAAACAGGCAAAAAGTTTTTGCCTATGAAGCTCAATTAAAACAACAGGCCGTAACCATGTCATAAGTAAAAGAAGCCTAAGGATAAAGGGAGTTGTTTAAGCTTAATTGATTAAGTGCAGAAATTGGAATAACTTTAGATTTTTTGGAATTAATTTATGAGGGTTTATGGGTTAATTGGGATTAGAATAGACTTTTGTTTCATTTTCTCACATTTATATACTTTTTTTTAATCGTTGCTAATCCAAGGAGCTATTTCAACCATGCGCGGACCAGTAGGTGATCTCAAGGGCTCAACCAAAGGGAATTGCTAACAATAACTAGTAAGAGCAGTGCTTCGCTAAATCTACCACTAGACCGGAATCGGGACCCACTGAGAAGATCGGACGAGAAACTCAGTAGGTACACATTCATAGATTCTAAACGGTTAATGAGTCAATATTGCGAGGGCTTCGAAATATAAAATTAACAGAATAAAATAATTAACAAAATCAGAGAAGTTTCAATTAAAAACCCCACATCATTGAAATAGATATGAAATGAGGTTACCGGGATACATGCAATACTATGAATACTACCGCCCTGGCAACCTTCAATATTAAATCTATGTCATAGATGTATGGAATAAATGTTTTTTCCACCGTAAGCGCCAAATGTGTCGGTAGCACATGCGTGATAGGAATTAGGAAAGTAGAAGAATTTATGATAGCAAGGGAAAGAGGAAGCTATTGCAACTTCATACAAATTGAAAGTAGTAGAAGCCAGGGAAATTCAGGGTTACACATGTCTTAATAAGATCTTTTTAAAACAAAAACAGTCAAACCCAGACTACAAATATATAATTTTTTTATTGAAATACTAGTTCCAACTGGAAATTGAAACCAGCCCTGCAGTATTATTATACTATTGATTATTGTCAGGGGCAGTAACTGCTAGACAAACAAGGCGATCATATTCCGGTTTAAATTAATTCTTCATTTTACATTAAAAAAATTCCCAATTTTTGTTATCAGCATATATGCTGATGACACTATAACCTATTCCACTCAGAATTTATAGCCAGTTTATTTTTAAATATGACATATTAAGTACAAAACAAACAAAAAAAAGTGGTAAAATGATCATTTCAACCGACCATAGTTCTCTTTCTCCCTCTAGCTCTGACTTCTTCATATTTACTAATGATTTCTTTTATATTGCTCTTACTAGAACTTTTGTATGCATCATAAATTTTATCGAATAACTCTGGATAGTCATTGTGGGTACTTATTAATGCCCTTTCTAGGACATATAGGTCAACGCCTTTGTCTTCGGCACTAGAGTCAACATATGATAAACCAAAATCTATCATGACCAAATGAAATTCACAGCATTGAATCCAATTATCATTGTCATTTTTCGGTATCAACAATATATTAGAAGTTGTTAAGTCTCCGTGTATAATGTTGGTGTCGTGTAATGTTCGAACAGTTTCGCCAATCATTTTAGCTAGTATGTTCAGGCTGTTTGTTTCATTTTCACTGCCAGTTTTCGTCAAATTTATAATAAAATCTTTGACAGTTACGTTCCGTTCGAAATGTTCCATGTAAATTCGACGACGCTCAAAATCAACTAAATATAAAGCCGGTGTACGAATTCCGGCTGTTTTACAGCGTACAATGGAACGTGCTTCATTTTTAATTCTCTCTTTTGTTATATTTGTATCTAAATCAGGATGTCTGTAATTTTTAACGAACCTTTCCTTGATCAATGTAGGTCTTCCAAGATAATTGCAAATGTACAATTTTGCTTCAGCTCCTTGTTTTAATATCTTCAAATCTTCAGTCATTTTGTAAATATAACCTATAAATTGTTCAGAATCAAATTGAATTTATTATGCATTTCCTTATGATTAACCTTCCAGAATACACTTTTCGCTATCATTACTTACCTAAATGAACAATTATAATTAATTATAAAATCTCTGAGGTATGTAATGAAGTTACTGTAAATAAACAGAGAAGGTATTACTTTGTTGAAGTTTGTTGATGAACCTTATGACAAGATATTTGTCATCTTCAATTGACAATTGACATTGTGAAGAATTTATCAAACTTAGCACAGGCTACCTTAAACATAGTATTTAAAACAGTCTACAAGAAAATAGTAACTTGAGACAGCCCTTGCGTGATTGTTATTTGTAACTTTGCGTCCACATTGAAGAAAAAAATACACCTAATGAGGTTTTCTCATTGAAGCAAAGAAAATATTATAAATATAAATTTAACATCTTGTGCAGAAGTGTGTAGAGTACAATTTTCCATAATCTTTTTTTAAAAGTTAGCCCAGATTTTTTTTATGGTGAAAACTTTGCGGGTGTGTGTGAATTTAAACTAAGCCATCATACTCATAAAGTGTGTAGGTACCGAGCAAGAAAAGGCATGCACAACTGGAAATGGTTACGACAATCAAGATTGTCATCGGCTCTTATTTATAAATGATAAGGAGCATGACACAAATCGTGGAATTGTAGGAAAATAAACAAAAAATATGTAGTCAAGCTAATTTACGTAAAATGAAATGCAGTTCGTAGCGAATGTCGAATTCGTCTTAAATAGTCGGCACCTTTCATGACTTCGGTATTGGAACGAAACATTCTATAGATACCTACCTACTTATCGTCCTGCTGTATATATACTTATGTGATATGTACATATTACTGTGCATAATGCAGCTAGAAAGAGAGTTGGAGGCTGTGGGCGTGAATCGTGAATTGTACGCAGTGCCGATCGGCGGCACCACGCGTTAACTTAATATATTTGATAATAATAATTTAACTGAAGGAACGGTGATTTATACGATTATTTTCGTGCCGGTTCGACGTTCAACCATTCCGGTGACTGTTAAATATTAGTTATCGAACACAAGTGTCCGTTTGATGCGACATACCGAACTGAAAGACTGTACTCTGCTGTGATCATAGTAATTCGTGAGAGCAATGTCGGAGGGTTTGGAATACGAAACTATTGTGCAGAATGGACCTAGAAAAGTGAGTAACCACAAAAAATTAATTAGGTGGCGAGCTTGTCAAAAAATGTAAACGTCCTGATTTACTTAAACAATTTTTATAATCGATTTAGATTATTTTTTATCATTACAAAAAAAGAAGTAGAATCTTTTTTTTCGTTTTTTGTCCCCTTAATTTGGTACTAGATTAACCTCAAGTAGGCAATAATGAAATATTGAAAGGAATACAATTTTCCCCGAAAAATCCTTTTTTAGGATATTTCTAATTGGAAAAATATTTATGAATAAATACTTCGATTTTTATTACACATAAATTAACAGATGCTTAATGATTCGGTACTAAACTTTTCATTCAAAAAAGGTATATTACATTATTTACGAAGAGAAAAGTGATCTCAACACGGCAATAAATGTTGATATAGCCTCTTCGTGTTAGTGCAACGTAAGTACATAACTACAAATGTAGGGCTGTGGTAGGGGGATGAAATGTCCTATAGAAATGTCTGGGCGCATTTTAGCATTGATATGTATGCGTGTAGGATGAAGACGCGCCCACAACCGTCATACCATGGCCCTCCCGTTTTAGCGGGCAACGGGAAATTGCAGACAGATTTTATGAGAACGATTTTATTAATTAATTAATGACGTCACGCTACGTCCTTGATAAACCGTTGAAAAATAAAAAAATATGTAAGTGTCTTTTTATTAGCGTAAGTCTTTATTATCTAGTATGTATTTTGGTGTATCTAAATAATTGTTTAATGTATATTTATTGGAATATGTACGTGTTTGTAAATATAATTTATGTTTCAATGCACCTATATCCTCTTCAGTATCTTTGGTTGATTTGTCGATATATAGTCGATACGTTGTATAAATATATGAAGTGCAATAAATAAATATTATCCTCATAAATAAACTGTGCTAAATATATTCAGGTAAATATGAATGTGTGGCTTTTTTTAATGACGCGTCCCTTCGCTCATGCGATATAAAAAAATATATGGGACTTTGAAGTTCGTACAAATAATTATGCTTACATACTTTGGGCGTAGATGGAAAGGATGCGGGAGTAATTTAAAAATGTTTTTCTTTTTTAATAGCCCAAACGTAACATGGTCGTATTATAATGATCATAAAGCCAATTAATAATAATGTCTGAAGTAGGTGCTTAAAGAAATGAATCGGTAACAGAAGACAATGGCCGTTACTGTGTCCTTGAACTGTTAACCACAAGTGAACCTGGGTCACTTATGACTCCATATGTCACGTTATTCTTTCATTATAGGTACCTAATTCTTGTTTTTTTTTTTCCCGATGTCTTTACTGATGTCTTAAGTGGGTAGTTATCTGATGCGCTCCCTGTTAATCACGTAAGACTTAATGGATAATATACATGTATAATATTTATGTAATTCAACTTCCCTCTCCACAGTGAGTCGATGTCTCGGGGCTAAGGATTATGACCCCTTTTAAATTGGACTATATATTAATACCTAGCCTTGATCACGGTGGACAGCTAGAGCTGAGACACGCTAGAGTTGAATGTCGATCGGTTTTGATCGCTCCAGCGCAGGAATTGGATCCTTGAGGTTTTTTTGCACTCTGCTAACACTTCCGCAATTGATTTTCTACATTTCACAGGAGATGCGGTCCATTTTATTGACGTTATTATAGAAGCTAGAGCGTAATTGTCCAATTTCAAACTAAAACGCTATGAAACTCCTGAAGCTCTTCGGTTTTTGTTAATCAGCTGTGTTTATAGTTGGGTTAATGAGTTAATTTCGTCAATACGCGTAACGTAAAGTGACGTCAAGACTTCTGTCTGGTGATCACAGTTGGCGTTAGGGTTTATTTTGGTGTTGACTCTTGTAATGCCAAAAGCCAGGCTGGGATTTAAGGACCGGCGAAACTTTCGACGCCGATAAGCACTGGATAAATTATGTAATCGATACCACAAGCTAATTTAGATCGAATCTATCATCATCATAAATAACCGGACAAGTACAGGCGCACAATATGCGTCCGCGCCTTAATCCGTTACCACGCCGGCGACTGTTGCTAAGCTTAAAATAGAACACGAATCAAATGGATTTGAATAGATTACGACGAAGTTTTTAATCTAAACACAAAAAAAAATCAGAGATTCCGTTTTATTGATAATCATAAAAAAATTTAAACCTAGATTACATAATCAATAATAATCGTAAAATTAATTATTCTAATCAATGCAGATATTGATTTTATTGATAAACAATCAAGATTGTGAAAGACGACAATATGGCCTAGGACAATAATATAATCTTATCCGTATCACTAAGCAGACACCAATGGAGAAGGAGATCCTTACGCGGAAGTGGCATTGGATTGGTCACACTCTGAGAAAGCCCGATACACACTTATCAAAGAGAGCACTGACCTGGAAAGTGTCTGGTAAAAGGAAGAGAGGCCGCCCCAGAACAACTTGGCGTCGCTCGGTGGAGCAGGAGCTAGGGGTCTTGGGCATGACGTGGGAGGAGCTNTTGATCGCTCCAGCGCAAGGAAATGGATCCTTGAGGTTGTTTTTGCACTCTGTTAACACTTCCGCAATTGATTTTCTACATTTCACAGGAGATGCGGTCCGTTTTATTGACGTTATTATAGAAGCTAGAGCGTAATTGTCCAATTTCAAACTAAAACGCTAGGAAACTCCTGAAACTCTTCGGTTTTTGTTAATCAGCTGTGTTTATAGTTGGGTTAATGAGTTAATTTCGTCAATACGCGTGACATAAAGTGACGTCAAGACTTCTCACTTGTGATCACAGTTGGCGTTAGGGTTTATTTTGGTGTTGTCTCTTGTAATGCCAAAAGCCAGGCTGGGATTTAAGGTCCGGCAAAACTTTCGACGCCGGAAAGCACTGGATAAATTATGTAATCGATACCACAAGCTAATTTAGATCGAATCTATCATCATAAATTTACCGGACAAGTACAGGCGCACAATATGCGTCCGCGCCTTAATCCGTTACCACGCCGGCCACTGTTGCCAAGCTTAAAATAGAACACGAATCAAATGGATTTGAATAGATTACGACGAAGTTTTTAATCTAAACACGAAAAAAAATCAGAGATTCCGTTTTATTGATAATCATAAAAAAAATTAAACCTAGATTACGTAATCAATAATAATCGTAAAATTAATTATTCTAGTTAATGCAGATATTGATTTTATTGATACCATCAAGATTGTGAAAGACAATATGGCCTTTTTTTTTTTTTGGTCAGGAGGAAATCGCCGGACTTCCGCCCTCCACTGGGGATGGAGGGCGGAGCATGTCAGAGTCGAACTGACTAAAACCTCCTGTCGCTCAACAACCAACGTCGCATGAGACAGAACTCATGAAGAGGCAAAGGGAGGAAAGTGAAGCGTTTATTGCGGAGCACATCTCTCCCATCACCCTCCCTCTCGGGACGCCGGACTGGCGCGGTTGCCGGCGCCACGACCACCAGCCCTCTCGGTCGGCAGACAATATGGCCTAGGACAATAATATAATCTTATCCGTATCCATATGTCTCGACGATGAGGACTTTTTTTTATGATTGTTACCTCATAACTTTTGACTGGGTTCAACATTCTTTTTTTTATAGAAATCTGACGCTTCCCGTGCAGTCCCATTTCAATTTACTCCAGTTCTGATAATGGTAATCCACGAGAAAACCATATAAATTTTAAATTTGCATTAAGTACGTGCGCGGCAGCTGTTACATTGAAAAAACTGAGATTTAGAATTCAAATTTCAAGGTGGGTGGCAAATCTTTAGTTGATGTCTATGGGCTACAGTGATCACTTAACACCAAGTAAGCCGTGAGCTCGTCTATCCATCTAAGCAATAAAGTAAAAAGCACATTCCGTAGCTTCGAAAAAATTTTTTTTTTTGCGTAAACATTCAAGGCTTTCTCACACGACCCGCGAAACAAGATTATGTTTATAACAGTATATTATGTTAACAATATAACGGAACAGATAAACTTATGAGACATTTTCCCATTGTTTCGCGACATTGAGGTCGCGACCTTTGTTATTATTTCTTTAATAATTATTATGAAAGTGAGAAAACCATGTTGCGTTATATATGCATGTATATTAGTTCCTGGAAACTAACAGTAAGTTAAGAATGAACTTTAACCTAAAAATTAACGCGGGTAAGTTATACAGCGTGTGGTTTTTAATAAAGATAAAACAAAAAAAAATAAAAATAATAAAGCCTTTATTCAGACAAATTCCTTTTTTTTTATACATATACAATCATCGATATACAATAATTATTTCTTTTATTTTTTATTTTTTACTATGTTTTAAGTAAGTAGTGGTATTAATATTAATTAAAAAAATTTTTTTTTGGAAGCTTTTTTTTTTTTACCTATGTTATTATTAGTTACTGTCTGTTTGTCTATTATAGACATAGGCCTCCTCCAACTGCCTCCATAAGCTTATATTTTCAGCTGTTCTGGTCCATGTGCTTCCCGCAACTGCCTTAATGTCGTCCACCCATCTCCTAAATGGTCTACCTCGGTTTCTTTTTCTGTCTCTCGGATACCAGTACATTATAGTTTTACACCATTTCTCCTGTCCTCTTATAGTATGCCCCGTCCACTTCCATTTAAGTTTCCTAAAGATAAAAAAAGGAAGATATCAATTCGACAATATTTTTTTTCGGTAGCTATCTCAGTTTGCTTATTGCGAGTATTTTTACTTCTCGATCGCGTAAAAGTTAACTCAGTCGGACAACGAGCTTACGTTTGCCGCTAGGGGCGCTGTTTCAACTGCATACAAATAACGCGATCGAGAAGTTAAAAAAGTCGATCTTCTCAACGAGTCGCGATTTCGATCCGGTAGTAGATTCATTCGCGAAGCAGCTGCTCTTGAGTTGTTAGGTCTCCTTGGAGGCGCTCGGGCAGCTGTTAGCAAAACCCAGCCCTCCTGGCTGAGCCTTTGCTCGCCCACCTGTCCTGGTGAAACCGGAAAGACCTCCGGGCCACCAG